AGGTGACGTTCGGTATCCGCAGACATCTCAATGGGGAACAGGTTTATCTGCATCGAGATTCCCTGGTGCTTTGTTCGTCCTTGGTCCTTGGTCCTACCGGCGTTCCTACTTCGAGGAGACGTTCGGTATCCGTAGACATCGCAAGGAGGAACAGGTTTATCTGCATCGAGATTCCCTGGTGCTTCGTTCGTCCTTGGTCCTTGGTCCTACCGGCGTTCCTACTTCGAGGAGACGTTCGGTATCCGTAGACATCGCAAGGAGGAACAGGTTTATCTGCATCGAGATTCCCTTCTTTAATGGTCGTTGGAAAGAACAGAAGTGATGAAACACAGGGGACCTTATTATTGACGACGTCCGGTCGTTTTACATGGGAGTGGGAATACAACAAGGACAACAGCCTCTAACTATTGATAGAACTTCTTCAGGTGTTCTACGTTCCACATCCCGGCATGGTTTCCCTCCAGGGTGTGGAGGAGGAACGTCCCCCGGTTGTATCTTCTGATTACCTGGTACGGTCCTTCCCAGTTCTTCGCCATTTTGCCACCTTCGAGCGGCTTGCTCTTCTCTCTTTTCCTGAGTACGAGGTCCCCGGCCTCTATCTCGCGGAATTTCACGGCCTTGTTGAAGTATCTCTGGGTGGCCCTGTGATACTCTTCCATGCGACGAGCCGCTAGGTCCCTCCGTTCCTCGATGAAATGGAGCTCCGCTCGTAGGTTGGTCTCGTTGTCCTCCGGCTGGAAGTGCTTGGTGCGATGTGTAGGTACCAACACCTCCGTCGGCACCTTAGCTTGGAACCCATAAGCCAAGGCAAAAGGGGTTTCCCCAGTCGCCGTTCTTGGCGTTGTCCTATACGTCCACAAGACATAATTCAGCTGCTCCGGCCAAGTGGAGGCGTAGTCTTCCAACTTCTTCTTGATCCCATCCATGATGGTCCGGTTCATGTTCTCCACTTGGCCGTTGGCTTGCGGGTAGGCCACTGAGGCCTTAGAGTGCCTGATGCCCCACTTTGCCAAGTATGCCTCAAACCCTCTGCCGACGAACTGCCGGCCGTTGTCGGTGATGATCTGCTCCGGGATCCCGAAGCGGCAAATGATGTTCTGCCAGACGAACTTCTGGCACTGAAATTCAGTGATGGAAGCCAATGGTTCGGCCTCTACCCACTTGGTGAAATAATCAATCGCCACGATGACGAACTTCCTCCCACCAGCAGCCGTGGGCAAAGGGCCCAGCAGATCTACACCCCACCGAGCAAAGGGTATTGCGATGGTCATCGGGGTGTAGAAACTCGCTGGACGACCCGGGACAGGTGCATACTGTTGGCATACTGCGCACTTCCGAGTGTGGTTGAACCAATCTTGCTGTATGGTCGGCCAGTAGTAGCCCTGCAGGATGACTTTCCTGGCCAGGGTTCGTGGCCCTTGGTGGCTGGAGCAGATCCCTTCATGTATTTCTTCAATCACCGCTGCTGCTAGGCTCGGCGGGAGGCACCTGAGGTAAGGTCCGCCGAACGTCTTCTTATAAAGTTGCCCATCAATGAGTTCAAAATTAGGGGCACGCCTTTTTATCCATGCCGCTCTTCTTGTGCTGCCATCCTCGTCGGGCTCTGGGAGTGTTCCGTCTCTGAGGTAATCGGCTATCTCCTTCGCCCAGTTGGGTTCGGCGATGGAGATAGCCTCCACCTGGATGACGTCCGTCGCCGGTGCTGGAAACACTTCCTGCCTGACGAAACCTCTGACGTGGCGGGGGATGCTTGACGCCGGATCATCGGTTGGGGGGTTGCTCAGTTTTGACAATATATCCGCTTCTGCATTCTCCACCCGCGATACCTGCTCAAGGATCACCTGTTCAAATTGCGCGGTCTGCTCCTCCGCCAGCTCCTTGTAGACCTTCATTCTCTCTTCCCTGGTTTCTGCAGTGCCGTTCATCTGGGTTACCACCAGCTGGCTGTCCATCCTCACCTTCAGACGAGCTGCTCCGAGAGCTTTCGCGCATTTCAGCCCCGCGATAAGCGCCTCGTACTCAGCCTCGTTGTTGGTGACTTTGAACTCAAATTTCATAGAGTAGTAGGCTTTGAAATGAATAGGGAGGGGGTAAAAGTATATTTTTGATAGTATAGGGGTGTGATTGATAATGCATCAAACCTCAAGGGAGGTCAATGATAATTTCCCTAAAACAAACTGAATGATGAAACGTAAGAAAATCTGAAGCCTGGAAGCTAAACCCCATATTCCATTTAAAACCTGAAATTGAAGTTCCCAATCTGATTGTGCAAACAAGAAGCTGAAATTGAAGATAAACAGTAGGAACTGTTGGAAAAATGTGTTAAAATTGCATTAAATGGTAATTTTGGGGCAATTTTTTGAGTGGGGGTCCACTTCCGATTTGGGTCGGGTCAAAGTGGTTTCGGATTGGCCTTGTTAAGAGCTACAATTCAACAGATGGTACGCTCAAAACGGATAACGGGTGAATGAGAAATTGATTCTCGAAGTTTACCCGTTAGAATAGAAAAACTGGGAAAAAGGATGGTTTCTGGTGTTTTATTTCTACGGTTTAATTTTTGTTTTCTTCCCGAAATGTTTAATTTTTTCCCAGCGGCAGTAGTGCTCGGACAGAAGCTTACGGAATAGAACACTTCATTGGTGTTCTGATGGCCTCGTGACAGAACCCCTCATGGGGTCTTCTGTTGGCCTCGGAACAGAACCCCTCACAGGGTGTTCTGGTGGGGGTCTTCTGTCGCGCATCTGAACAGTTCTAAACCGTTACAACAATTAATGCTCAACGTTTTTATCTTTTAATGCAGCGTTAAATGGATAGTTCATGGATGATTCAATGTCCAACGGACTGGTCATTGATGTCCAACGTTCAGGTCCATTATTTCACCATTTACACACAACAAATCCTCCTATATAATGACTGGCAGGTGGTTTGCAACAACATACGCTTTTACACGTTCTTACATGTTCTTACACGCTAATACACATTCCTCACGTATTTCTCAGCTCTAAAACACCTCCAGTCACGCTGAAAAATTCCTTCTGTGTTCAGACTTTGTTCCCGTTCGTTGGAACTCTTGTTTGTGTGCTCAAACATTAGTTCGTAGTCATCATATCCTGGGAAACGATTGTTGCAACGTTCCTAGCACCGTGGGAGGCAACAAATACGTTTTAAGGACACCGTGCGTAGCATGAGCTTTGGCTAAATTCTGCTCCATCTCCTTTCTTGTTTTTCTTTCGTCATTTCAATTAATTTATGTTAATTAATTTTCTTTATTTTCCGAAACACACCCAACAAGAACAAGTCAACAAGCCCTGGATTAGTTATGCAACTCGTTGGTTAAACACAGAAAATGCTTGCTGTGATGAAAGGAAAGCTGAGGAAAGAGACGGGTCCTTGGGTATTTAATTAGGAAGGGTAAATTTGTACTTCTACAATTTACTCCAAAAAAAATTACTTTTTTATCAAACGCTCCAACTTTACCTTTTAATAAAAATCACTTCTATTTTCAAACACTATCTACTTTTACTTTAAATCACTTTTCCAATAATCTCTTAAAAAATCACTTTTAAAAAACACTAGCACAAACACTCCCTAAAACAATGACTAAGAATATAAACATGAGTTAAAAGTTTTTCACTTATGAAGAGGAGTTATTTTGAACATGACGAAAAAATACCCCTCTCGGACAAAAAATTTCTTACCTAGCAAATAAAACTTGTGTGCGTCGCATTTCATTCATGTCTAGCTATTAAATATGAAGCGAGTTGGAGAATAAATTGGAGTAATTCTTCTCATCAGTATTGATTTGAGACGCGATATGTTCATTGTCTGTTGATGATGATCGTTGGTCTGCCGATGATCATCGTCGAAGTCGTCGAACATCCTATATCATATGACACGAATATATAGTGTAAAAAATCATGAAGGTTAACTGTTGGAATTTTTTTCGACACACAAAAATATGAAACATGAATCTTTAATATGTGGTGCCTCCATAAATAAGTGAACTTTACATGAACTCGTTTTTATTTTTTATTAAAACTAAAAAAGGAAAAATCTTAAAGAATTTTTTTATTTCTAACATTAAAATAAAATGTGTATTTTTAAATTTCATAATCATTCAAAAACACAAGAAAAACATTTTCTTGACAATTTAATTAATATTTTGATAAACTTATATGCAAAGAGAAACAATTAGTGTATTTTATTGACGATGCTAGGTGGTGGGGTGGTCACCACCACCCCACCACCGTCTCACTCCCCCAGACAACATCTCGCACTTCATACCCCCCTCTGCTCACACCCAATGCACCCACCTCAAACCTAACCCTTGCCGTCGTAGGCCAACGTACCCCCCACTACCACATACCTAAACTTAGCCGCCTCCACCCACGTACCATGGCCACTGCTCATCGTTGAATCCTAGCTGCCACCTATCGTCGAAACCTAGCTGTTGTTATCGCCTTCACAACGAGTTATGTTTGCTTCACCATTGTCAAAGGAGAAAAGAGAAGAAGACATAGGGAAGAAGCATGTGAATAGGTAATCGATCGTTGGTCTGATAGATGGAGGCGGAACGAGTGCGCACTGCACGGAACTAATTGATTGAGGTGGAGAGGTGCATAGACTATTGAGGGCATTTCAATCTGTTTGAACATTCTTAATCACTTTTTCGTCTACACGAAGTTTTGGTCATATTTTTTGTGCATCTGAACTCCATAATTACTATTTTATTCCTTTCTTATTTAGTCCGGCAGTTAACTTTAAAATTTCACACTTCCCACACACACGACTACACACACAACTTTAATTTGGCCATCTAAAAGTTTAATTGACTATCATTAAATTAAAGATCATAACAATTTATATCTTAACAATATGAAATAAAACAAATTTAATACATACTATAATAACTTAAAAAAAGCAGTACCAGATATAATTTATTCATTTATACATTATTGCAACTATTATTCAAGAACATATATGAGTAGAAAATGATAAGTAGAAAATGATTGATTAGTCAATTTTTGGTGTAGATTCAAGGAGTGATTTTGGGTAGATGATTTCCCGACAGCCAGTGAAATCCAGTATCTTCTTGCCGAGTGGTGAAGTACTTCCGCCTGGAAAAGTCATGAAAAGCAGCATATGGTAATAGTGGAGCATCTCAGGGGTGAAGAGCTTCCACCAATAGGTCACTTTGAACCAGGGCGGGTGGGTCAGATACCTCTCCCCATGACAAGCACTATTCAGGATCGCCTTGGCACACGCTTCCACCCTCCCTATAGGGATTATGTTCACCTGCACCTGCATGCAAGGAATTATAGTTTTTGTACCATATACAAAATGTTGTAATAGGTGTCAAAAATGTCACGATGGATCAAATGCAACATTTTTAGCATGTTGCATCCAACTGGTGTTACAGTAGGTGTATTGTAACAATTTATCATTTTATTGTACCATTGTTTGGTACAACAATGTTACAATTGATACTATACTGCAGCAATTTAGTATGTTGCATCCGACCGGTGTTACAATAGGTGTATTATAATAATTTATCATTTTATTGTAGCATTTTTTGGTAGTTACAATAGATACTATACTATAACATTTTTAGCATGTTGCATTGCATCCGACTAGTGTTACAATAGATGTATTTTAGCAATTTATCATTTTATTGTAGCAAATTCTATGGGATGTTACAAAATATAGATGCTACAATAAATACTTTTGTACAAGTGTTACCATCCGTCTAGAGCCTCATACAAATAATACTTCCTCTGTATTAATTTGTCATCTTTCCTTTTTGGAATGCCCTCAAAACTTTATCACTTACCATTTTAATCAATTAATTTTTGGTTTCTGCTATTTTTTTTCTCTGCACAAACTTCGACCTCATAGTTTTTACTTTACCATTCTCTGTGTCGGTCAAATTAATTATGGGAATTATACAAATGTATAAAAATAATTAGCTTAGACATGTATGGGAATGAGAGGGCGAATGAATTAATTACTTACATCCCTCAAATGGCTGTTAACGTCTAACTGGCCGGTGTTATCCAAGTGCTTTCCTTGAGTAAGTTCTGACTCTATAAATCCAGGAGTCACCGCAGTAATTTTTATATCTGATCCGAATTCAACCCTTAATGTCTCAAAAAACTCAAACATTGCTGCTTTACTTGCCTGGGTAAAAAACAAAATATGCCACATTTGGAGGGACTAAAAATGTAAATTTTAAAAGTTATACGAGTATGTAGTAATTATACTTGTCCATTTTATTATTTTCGAAAAATACGTATGCTAAATAGGAGTGAAATTATAAGCCTAACAACTTTTATCAATAAGAGTACAGTTATTTCCTTCCCAAATATGACTCGTCCGACTCCATTCATTAGGAAAGTTTTCATTACTTTTACTAAAATTATTATTGTTTTAATTAATAGGACTCAATAAGTCAAGAAAATTATTGTTCAATTAATTAAGCGAAAATAATAAAATTATTTCAAACTTTGATGGAGTGTGAAGTAAACACCCCAAACTTTATATAAAAAATTATTTTCACACCATTGTCATGTATTATTTCTTTCAAAAAAATGTAAATTTATGAGGTTACTTGCATAATTTAAAATAGCAAATTAAAAGTGCTGTAATTATATAGATTGGAGGTAACATTATTTATTTTGCAATAAAAGTTTATAATGTTAACCGTGTCTTCATGAATTCTAAAATATTTTAAATTATGCAACTAATACCATAAATTTACATTTTTGAAAGAAATAATACTTGACTATGACATCAAAATAAAATCAAAATAAAGTTTAGGGTATTTTAATTATTTTTCCGGGGTATTTGACTTACATTGTAAATGCTCATTCTGGGTGCAGATAACCAAGCCGCGGATGATGATATCACGACAATTCTGCCGTTGCTCTTCCTGAGATGAGGAGATGCGAAGCGAGTCATATACACTGATCCCCAGAAGTTTATGTCCTAAATAAAACAAAATTATATTCATTTATTCAACGAAAAACATACACCATATGTATACTAAGTCACCGAGGAAGCGATCCGGCCCAACTGATCGCTGACTCACTCTTCCTTACGGAGGTCTCGGGTTCGAAACTCAATACAGTGAGTTTCAGACCTGACTACTTCAGACCCTCAGTCCCCCTTCCTAGAGGAGGACCTAGGGGGTCATAGGGGGGCAAGTGCCCCCCGCTTCCGACCCCGAACTTTAGCATAAGTACTTAGGATAAAAATAGTGTCCCACCTATTCGGATAAAAAACTCTGTATAACACTACTGAATGAGATAATAATCCATTCAGAGAGTATATGTAAATTGTTATAAGACATTTAAACGACTATGAAATTATGATGGAATGATTGCTTACGGTTAGACATGATCATAATTGTAAAAGTTAAATTTTGATTGTTTATAATATGAAAATTATAAACATTGCAATGATGATTCAGTTGTAATCCATGACATGTGTTTCTTTCAAAAAAAAAATGAATTCTACCTTCGTCCCGGTGGACTTTGCCAAGTGCAAAACAGGTGAGAAATAAGAATAGTAAAAACTGTGGTTGAGATTTGTGCAGAGGAAAGTGACAAATTTATAATTAAGCGATAGCAAAAATACAAGAGAATGAATAGTCTGAGGCTACAATGGGATGAGACATAGAACGGAACAGATTCAATGAATCCTTCCAGATCGCTAACCCCACAATAATGTAGTCTAGTCTAACAGCCTTGCTGATGCTACTCCAAAGAGAAATTAAAAAATTACAACTAAAAGATCCGGCTTCACCAGCCACCGGAAAGGGAGAATTGGTTTGACCAGCAACCAACAAAGGGAATTCAACCGAGTAAAAATTTCTTGAAGCATCGTTTTGACCAGCTACTGAAAAGGAGATCCGCTTGATGTTAAATATCTCACACCGGAAAATTGAGAAGCACTAGAGTGCTATATTAAGCTTCGGGCTACTCCTCCTAACAGGTTGACCTTTTAGGATGGAACCCCGAGTCTTAACATGGTATCAGAGCCAAATCGATCAATGGTGTGGGGCCCCTTATGAAAAATGACGACACGATTAAAAAAAAACTGACGAACCGATGAAAAATGAATGACGACACGATCCAGACGAAGTGTCTGGTCGTGAGGAGGGGTGTTAAATGTCCCACACCGGAAAATTGAGAAGCACTAGAGTGCTATATTAAGCTTCGGGCTACTCCTCCTAACAGGTTGACCTTTTAGGATGGAACCCCGAGTCTTAACACTTGATCATCTTCTTCTTCCCAGAATGAAAGGAGATCCGTTTGATCATCTTCTTCTTCCCAGAATGAGGCGGTGGTTCAGGTGGTGGGCGAGTATTTCGAACATCAGAACAACAAGAACAACAGGGATGAAAAGCTTCACCAGATCGATTACACCGATTAAAAACACACAACCTCTAAACATTGCTAGGAGAATAACATACCACACGCTCACATGAAGCGGACAAAATTCTCGGCCAATGAAGATGTCGGACCAAATTCTTTGAAAATAGAAATTGAAAACGAGCAAAGTATAGAAAAACCTTTGATTCAATCTTTCATTGAACAGAGAATGTATTCGTCTTCCAAAATCGGATGGGTTGGGGATGGTCGCCTAGAGTTTCTCTTGGGGCCGACTCTCTATACTAAGTTATTTGTCGTAAGATAGATAACTCGTTCATTCTTAATTTAGATGCATGCTACGGCACCTCAAAATCGATCTATTACTCCGTACTAAAAAGGTATTTAGGACGCCAATTTGTCCATAAAATATTCAAAGAGAAAATTGTTGCTCAACTAACAATTTTTAAAATGGATATTCATCGATCACTACTCTACTAAGGTGTTTATACTTGGATTGGAATTTCTTGATCTGATATCTAAATTGTTCTGATCTGGTCTGAATTGATCTGGTAAATGTTTGATCTCTGTGTATTTTATATATCTCCAAATTGGATACTTAAAACATTGGCACGTCGTACGAATTTTGTCACGGTGGCATAAATCCGTACCAATAATCCGCTCCGGTGTTGGAAATCGATCGGTTGTTCATTTGTGCGTTTCTTACCCAAACAAAATAGCCAGATTATGGTGCCGTTTGGAGCCTAGAAAATAGGCTGATAAGCCTTAAAATGTAAAAAGAGAGCCAAACACATGTCATTTGGGCTGTTTGGACTGATTTTTCTTATCAGCCAAAAAAGTAACTAAAGGGTTACTTTTTCAGCTGAAATCTATTAATCCACCGTTCAAAACCAAAAATACTCCTCTGCCCTTGCCGTGATACATCTGCTTCAGAAGATGAAGACCACTTCTACATCGATGAATTCTCGCTCAAGCTTAGATGCTTTTTCAAAATATGACAATTAGGACTGCCATTGATACTGGGTGTGTTTGCAAGCTGGGGATGGAATTTGCTGAATCATGGGATTCTAAGAGTTTCACTTGCACCGATAGACAATCTCACCAGTCTGAAGTTCAATTTGCGTTAGAACCTGAAATACCTGCAATTTTAGGGATTATCCCACCGCCTTCCTTTCCCTTCAAGCTCTTTTGATATGGCTCATTGCTCATGGCTCATTGCTCAAGATACCTAATTCCTTGGACTGAATTTGTAATTGACAGATGCCTAATCCTGGTCTTGTTTTTGCTTAATCATGCCTTAAGTTTTTCGTATAAGCATGTGGAATTAGTGGTTGGTTAAATTCTTGCACAATCTTAGTTGTTGATGACGACATAAGCTTGGGTTAAATACTTGCACAATCATGCCTTTGGTTCTAATTTTCATCCCCAGTGGATGTTTCAGTTTGGGAAATGTTCAAGGTCTGGACTGCTGCTTTGAACGACATAAACAAAAAGTAAACAAATACCCTTAATCGTAATTTTACATTCAATCAGCCATTCCAGCCAATGTATTACCAAACACTTTCACTTCAGCAGATTCAGTCTTTTCAGACTTTTCAGTCCTTCCAGCCGTTCCAGCTGATTCCAAACAGGCCCTATATTGTAAAGCTTAATTTCATCCAAGGCCTAATAAGCGCATAGTTTAATTATATTTGTAGACCTAACCAAATTGTATTTGGCCAAAGCTAAGGTGCCATATTAGGTGAGGAACAATAGCTACGTACTATACATTCCGACGAGGAATTGTAGAAATAGAAGTTTGAACAATCCATTGATCTCACCATAACGGGCCGAAGAGAAGTGAGATCCTCGACCTCTTCAAACAATGAAATTGAGGATATCCCAGCATTGTTAACCAGATGATCAACTGCACGTACATGCATAAACAAATCACAGCAAGCCATACATAATATTTCCACTTTGGTCCTACGAGATTTAGTTAACATCTTTCATTTTGCCTACATTTTTCACTTTCTACTTTTGATACTTGACTATATTTCTTGATTATTTGATGTTCTTTTCTGGCGATTTTAATCACCGGAAATATTGAGGGGCAAAAATCCTTAAAGAGCTGAGGAATAGGCGTGATACTTGTAAGATCAAATATGGATCGGAATTTATTCAAGAAAAGCTTAAAATCCGATCGTGGACATGTGAAAAAGATAAGTTTGATACATTTTGTTTACATTTTACTACTAGTCTTAATTATACACATTTTAATTCGTATATACACGTTACTATTGAAAGATGGATAAAATGAATAAACAATACTTTAGCTATCGACATTGTTACACTTTTTGACCTTCCAATGCACAATGATGACATATATATATATATATATATATATATATATATATATATATATATGTCATCATTGTGCATTGGAAGGTCAAAAAGTGTAACAATGTCGATAGCTAAAGTATTGTTTATTCATTTTATCCATTATATATATATATATATATATATATATATATATATATATAAACTTAAGATTAAGTTCTCAGGTGAGAACTTAATCTTAGGAGAGTAAAAAAGAATAGATCTTAGCCCTTGGATTAACCATGTTTTTTAAACTACCGTGCACATGTCTAAAAGGAAAGGCCTTTTGGTCATTTCATCAATGCATTAATTAGCCTTAAAACTAAGCTCCGGAATTGGTGGCACTACTTGTCACGCCCCAGACCGCAATCCAAGCGCGTGTACAACCGCCGTGAAATCAAGTGATGTCACCCGCGAGTCAACCTCACTTGATTACACAAGGCGTTCGAGAAAAAATAATCCATCCATACTCAGTAGTAAACATACATAACAACATCACATTTAAACCAATGAATAGCGGAAATATTCAACGGTAAGTCATAAGCCACAACCGGCCAATAACATGGGCATGCAAGCCCCAAAAGAATAGTTTATAACAAATAAAAATATCCATGAGCAATGTTTGGTAATTTGAAATAAAATGAGGAAGCACGAACCACGTCTTCCTTGATTTGATGTCACCCGTAGAAAGGTGCAGGTAGCAAGCCCTAGCTTCAACCTGAGAATGGTGGGGCCCCCCGAAGGGGTCAGTACAAGTACCGAGCGAGTAGCAGGCTAAATATAGAATAACTAGCGTTTCAAGTATAAGACCCAAACATAGGGTGATACTTATATAAATAGTCTTTCCCCCAAGTTATGAAATACTTAATAGTATATATATACTTGGAAAAATATCCGATCCGTAGATCACCATTTTATTTGGGAAAATGTTGGTCCCAGTTTTGCAGACTAACGATCAGCTAGATGAACATCATCGATAGACAGAAGAGAAGTATTTCATATAATGATATAAGATTTATCGAGAACAGTGAAACCTTCTTTCTGTAGTATCGAGAAGTAAATTTGGCAGCGTAAGGCTAATGTGTATTGATCGATATCGGTACCTGTACACAAGGCGCGTATTTATAGGCGCTGTACAGGTTACCGATTTAGGTAAACCTTGGAAGTTGGGCCAAGGCCTTTTTGGGCCTTATTCCCTTTACCTTATTTGCTACATAATAAATACTAATCTAATACCATAAATGGTATAACTAGTCTACTTTATTTAAACAAGACATTACAGACAAACTTGACCCACAATAAAAGTTCTAACAATCTCCCCCTTTGTGGTCAAGTGCCGTCTTGCTGGGTTTCTTCACTTCTGAGCTTTGTGATAGTTCTTTCTGAGATTAAGTGCGTGCTCATAGTTTCTGAGTGAGTTTCTTCTATCAAGTTGCTTTTCAATGGCTTGTAGAATATTGTTAATTCTGTGCAGTTCCTTCTGGTCTCCTTCAGTGGCTTCAGTCGATTTCTGTCCAAGTTCTTGTTTCTTTGATCGGAGCTGCTCCTGGATGATCTTCAACGTTCCATCACAATACTTGTTAATTTCGTCCACGAACATTAGACGTTTTTCGTTGTTATGATTCAGATAGATGACTGATACTGGATTGTCAAAAATATGATATGCTTCAAAGGATTCAAGGCCAGGTCTACTCAAGTCCGGTCTAGTAAGATTCACCTTTGAATAGTTGTGCTCTATGGTCATCTGGAGGTCATGAGAAGCGTAGAACCGAACTTGTCTTGTCATGAATCTTTTTATCGCCTCGAAGCCTTCTTTAGCGAGTCTGTCTTTGTGAACTGGAAGCTCCCTGCACCTCATGAACATTTGATAAATGTCATCCATGTGCAGTAGAAAGAAGTCATTCTCTTGACAGGTGAACTCCGAGCCATCAGTACGTTGTAGACGAAAAATCATGAACTTAATTGTCTCCAGGTGATCTTCTGTAATCTCCAAGATTTTCAATATGGGACATCCACTTGTCACAAGGTTGTGATTTAGAACTTGTCGACGTTGCCCTGTGGATCTATGTCCTAGCATATACAGATTTCCTCCTCTATATTTTCCTTTCAAGTGATTGATTCCTCGCATTTTTAATTCACTGAACTTCTTGACTTTTTCTGGTTGTCTCCAAATCTTCTCTCGAATTTCTTCAAGAAAGGGGGCTTTGATCCGTATGATTTCCCATTTTTCTTTAGCTGGTTCTGGTTCCTTGAGATTCTCTCTTTGATTCTCCCCTTCCTTGAGTTCGTCTTTATCGAGTCCAATCATCATTGCATGGTATTTATTGAGGAACTCTCTGAGATGCCAGCTTCGACACATTTCATACTGATCGGCTTCCACTCTAAGGTCATCCCACTCTGTCCATTTAGGAGCCCATTGATCATGAACTAGAAGATCTTCAAGCTCATCTTGTATTGGATTGTCAGAGGGTTCAGAGGGAGCTTGCTGCTGTGTCGAAAGTGACTCATCGTGTGAAACACCGGGATCCTCAGGATTGCCCGTTGACATCAGTTTCGAACTAGGTTCTAGCTGATGGCCTGAGTAAGAAGATGTACTCGTGGTAGCATCATCAGGACTTCCATTCCGTCCTTGGTTAACATCTATAGGAGATGCACCTCGGGATGTTATGTCTAGCTCGACCATGCTAGAGAGAGTGGCTAGGGATTTATGGCTAGCTGAAGTAGTGGGTTGCTCATTGGTAGAGGTAGAGGGTTGGTTTGGCTTTGAGGGTTGGCTAGTAGAAGCAACATGCTCAAGTATCCGCTGGCGCTTGTTCTCCCCCTCATGAGAATCCGAATCATCAGGATCCTCATGTGAACGTTTAGCGCCACGGAGACTGTCACGGCATGTGTTCTGTGTATCTAGAGCATGAAGAAGGGCTTTTTGAAGAGGGGTGAGGTTGCCTTCTTCCATGTCTAGTATACGGTCGTAGATCTCAGCTACGAGATCCTCGAAGGGTACGGTTGTTAGGTTAGGTTTGGTCGTTGTAGGGGAGAATACTAGTTCTGTATCCTGGGTTCCCCTTGATGTGGATGGTTGTTGGTTTTCTATGGCTAAGGGTTTGGAAACAGGTATGGAAATGGTTGGGGGCTGTGTTGTCTGGGGTTTGGATGGTATATTCTGAACAACTGGGGTACTTCCAGAGTCTCGTGCATTAGCGGTTATTGCTTCATGCACCCATGGCTTAATGGTAGACTCTAGAAAGCTATTCAGATATACGAGAATGTCTTCGGGGATAATGGCACCAGTTACAGGGGTTGTAACTGTTGTCACAGCATCAGTGAAGATAGCTGATGTGTGGCCTGCGTTCAATGATTGAGGCATTGTTGGCGTAGCAGGGCTTCCGACCATCATAGTTTGCACTCCGGTCGTTGCATTCAGGGTGAGTGCACCTGTATGTGCAGTGAATAGTGTAGGTGTCCTAGAAAAATTCAAAAATGTAGGAATGGTGACACCTAGACTCGATGTGATAGAACGAATGGGGGTAGTGGTCCGGGGCTGTTGACCACTAAGTCTCTCAGCAGATTCGGAAGGAATCAGTGAGGTCGGTGTAAGTTCCCCTTGAGTTATTGAAACCCCAGTCTGTTGGGAGACTGGAGAGTGGATGGGAGATGGCTGTGCATGCGCAGTTGAACCGGATGCTGCGACTTCTACCCGGGAACCGACAAGGTCAGCTCCTGCTCCTAGGGGCGTGGTTCGGTCTATAGTGACGAAGGTGTCACAGTCATCGTACAGTGCCAGCTCCTCCTCCACTGCACTCTTCTTTCTGAGCCTCTTCTTAGGCTGTGATGATGCATGCTTTTCATTGCGTTTCTTGGAGCGCTGCTCACTAGTGATGATCCCTTTGAGTGGTCGGGGTGTGAGTGCAGCTTCAATATCTTCTGATGAGGAGTCGGAGTCTATCGGAATGGCCTGTTTACCAGCTCTCTTCCTGTTGCTGATCAGGACTCCCTCCATGTCATCATCATCATCTGCATCATCATCATCATCATCTCTTCGTTCATTCCCTTTGGCCATGCTATCGGAGGCCTCACCACCTGCCTTATTAGAAGGGGCCTGGCTAGATGGTTCATTGGCAGTGTCCTCAGCATTAGGGTGGCCCTCAGCAGTCTGGGTCCTCTCGGAAGAGTTAGCAGACTGATCATCATTAGGCCAGGTTGCCACTGGTTTCTGTGACGGGGCTCTCTTCTTCTTACCCTCACGTTCACTCGGCTTGGTCCCTTGGGAAGGTCCAGCTGGGTTTTGCTGAACCATAGGGACCGTCCTCTCAAGCTCCTTCTTGTAATCAATGACTGCCTTGTCCCTCGGGTTTGCTAGATCAAGCAGGGAGTCCGGAATAGGCAGTGCTTCAGCTTTGTTACTGTCTCGTTGAAAGTACTTGAGCTTTGGCGCAGTGAAGTGCTTGTCTTCCTTACGCTTAGGGATTGTAGGGGTGGCGTCCATCATATTGTGGATCATCAGCGCCAGCCACCGAGCGTAGGGAATAGTGCTCCCCTTGTTGTTCTCCT